CATCTAAGTGAGATCATAAAATATTTGTTTGTCCTTTTGTAATTGAGTAACTTAACTCAGCATAATGTTTTCAAGATTAATCCATGTTGAAGCATGTGTACAGGGTTTCTGAGGCTGTAAATCTTCTTATGACTGATAATATTGCACTGTATGTATGCAAGGGTCAGTCAAAAAGTATGCTACTAGGTGATAGTGGTTATATGCTGTGGAGTTGGTTCTGACTCAGTAACCCTGCATAGGGTTTCTTAGGCTATAAATCCTTACCTGAGCAGAAAACCTCAACTTTTTGCTGTGGAATGACTGGTATAGAACTACTGACCTTGAGGCTATTAGCCCGACTCGTAACTTCTACTCTGCCAGAGCTAACTAGGGTTACAGTTTGTACATGTCTGAGTTTATTCCATGCAGGTGGCTGCAGACAAGTTCTCTCAGTAATACATGCTACCAGAAGAGCTTCTTATAATTTGGAGTAGATACAAATGTTTCCAAAGATTTTTATTTCATAGAAAAGATCCTTGTTGATTCAGTATAGTTACACTGAGGTTCTGGAAAGCAAGTTAAGAATAGAGCTGCAACTAGAACTTGGGTTTTGTTTTCTTACCATTGTGTTTTTTGAGCCAGGAGAAGGATCATCTATTGTATGTTGTTATTAAGTGCCGTCGAGTTGGTTCTGATCCATAGGGCCCTTTATAGGGTTTCTGAGAAGCAGCTGGTGAGCTTGAACTACCAACTCATGGCACATAACCACCACCAAAAGCTATGTTGTATTCTAGGCTCTGATTGGAGGGCTTGCTGCTATCCCAGTTGCCTTATGTGGCACTACGGCTTCATAGATACCTATATAACTGCATGAATCTGAAGAAACGGGCCTCACCACCAGAGTCTACTTGAGACAAATGTTGTTGTTATTATGTGCTGTGGAGTCGGTTCCGACTCATAGTGACCCTCTACAGGGTTTCTGAGGCTGTAAATCTTTATGGGAGTAGAAAGTCTCATCTTTCTCCCATGGAACAGCTGATAGTTTTGAACTGCTGACCTTGCGGTTCACAGCCCGGTTCATACTATGTTACCAGAGCCCCTTACTTGAGACAAATATATCCCACATAATGTATCAACATTCATGGTTCGAAAAAAATTTCCCCCTGATTTCAACATGCCCTCCACTGCTGAAAACACCCGGTATCAGCAAAAAATGAAAAGCAAAAAAGAATTTGGTCATGAAAAGGTTAATTGTATCCCACTTTTATCCAACATTATGCTAGATGTTTCTAGGCAAGGCATTTACATATGATAAGAAAAAGTCATTTCCAAATTACCTTATTTGGAGGGTACTTTTAAAAGTTCATTAAAAATGGAGTAATAAGATAATGGGATTTTTCTAAGAACTTTTTGAAAGCACCTTGTATGTAGAAAATTCTACAATTAACCCAAGCAACTCGAACTAATACATGAGTTCAGAAGATTGCAGGATGTAATATCAATATACAAAATGAGCTTTATAACAACTAGCAATGAACAATCTGAAAATAAAACAATTCCATTTATAATAGGATTAAAGACAACAGACCACAAATATGGCATGGGGGCCACATCTGACTTCGTCTGTATTCATAAGGGGGGAGGAGAATCAAACTCAAAATCAGCCATAGGCTGATTCCTGCTACATGGAGGTCAGACATGCCTCTGCTGTACAATCTAACACCGACCATTCCTCCATGGCACTCTACTTCTCTATTGGGTTTGATAATCCATTGCAATGGCCACACAGTGTCGAGGTCCTATGTCGGGGTCCAGCCTCGACAAGGAAGTGTGGGTGTCACGAAGTAGGGAGATCCGGCGGCTATAGGGAGATCCGGCGGCTAAAGGGGTATAGAGAAACAGAGAGACGAAATATATACAAAAAAGATACACAGATATGATGCAAGCTGGCAGGTAGGCAGATCTGCAAACATTATGCCTAGCATTGCACACAGAACTCACTCTACTTCAGTCTTTTATTCTCTTTTTTAGGGAGGGATTTGTTACAAAGGAAGGATGTAATTCACAAAGGGAGGATGTGATTCTTTAGATAAGATAGGATACAGAACTGAAATGTGATTAATCATTCAAAACAGGACATAATGATTCACAGGAACAACTTTTAAGATATTTTCATAGTTTTCCTTAATGTAACATTTTTATTTTTACAGAAAAAAGGTTCAATCAAGCTGTTATATATTAACTTTTAGGCTTAAATGATCTAGAGCAGCTAAGTGTGGTTTCTCAAGGATACTTAACATGAAGCAAGGTTCCTGAAAGGAGCCAAGCTGTCTCTGTACATTTTGCAGACTTTTGTTTGTGAGTAAGATCTCAGGCACCGGGCTTCATTTATCTATATCTAAAATGCTACATTGTTCTCAATTATCACATTTGTATATACTTTCAGGAGGAAGGAGAGCATCTGGGTTAAACTGATTATATTCAAAGGCAGTTTAATGGGGCTGCCACTATTATCCTCTAATCCAACATTTCCAGAATTTACCATTCCACTTTATTTACAAACTTTGGGTAGTTTTTCTCTAAAAACCTTTTCTCATATTCCCAATATACCCATTCCTGGCCTTTCTGAATTATCTGAGGAAACTTTTACTGCCTCGGCTCTAAAAAGGGGTTTCAAACCCATTATTGCTCATGGATATCAAACATAACTGAATAATCAAATAAGGAGCATTTCTGACATTCATCCCAGGTGGCTATCGCTTGTTCCTCAGAAAAATTTGTTCCCAGGACTCCACGCACTGCCAACACAGTGGAGGCATTGTAAAAGAAACCATTTTCTCAGAAGCTACAATTACTGGAGTTAGAAGCATAGAATGAACAATATCAGGACCAAGGAAAATTATACAGAGGTAGCCAACCAGTGAGTTCACAAAAACCAATGAACCCGGGATGTCAGGAGGTCACTTCCTTGGCCCTCTGGGTCCATGGCTCGTAATCCTAAGAAGGGCCCCGGGGTTGGATTTTCGTCCATGTTATCACAGGGCCACAATGTCTCAGTACTTGTGTATGTCCCCAACAACCCAGAAAGTAGAAAAAAGAACTTTAAAGACTATGAGAGCAGCAGATTTTAAAACAGCTACTACTCCCTATGACTGTGATGAAGTGCCCAAGAAAAAGGCTGCTTTCTTCCTACGGCTGAGATCCATACCTTGTTGGCGCGTTAGTAGTGAAGTCACTTGAGTTACCATGCAGATAGAGAACATGTTGTTGGTGTTGTCGTTATGTGCCATGGATTCAGTTCCGACTCAATAGTGACCCTGTACAGGGTTTCCGAGGCTGTAAATCTTTATGGGAGCAGAAAGCCTCATCTTTCTCCCGTGGAACAGCTGGTAGTTTCGAGCTGCTGACCCTGAGGTTAGCAGCCGAATTCGTAACCACTACGCTACCAGAGCTCCTTGATAGAGAACATACTGGAGGGTATTTCTTTCTCTTGAGTGCTAAGGAAGTCAGATCCATCCACACTGAGATGTCATGTCTCCAGAACACACTGAAAAGCCATGTGGGAAAAATCATTCATAGGGAGGAGGTGCTTTAGTAGACACTTTGCTGAAAAGTTGCTGAGTGCTTGAGAAGCCATTCCCAGCAGAAGATAGATATTGGAGAAGCTTTGTAGTGTTCAGGAGCCTGGCTAGAATATAGCCCCTTCCATCTCTAACTCCTTCTACTGAGGAAGCTTAACATCATGCCATTTAGTAATAGAGAAATGCGTATTTAAAAGACCCCTGACCTGTCTCCATTTCTGTAAGCAGTGACGTGTGGATTGAAAGCTTGAGAGTCAAAAATTGGGATAGCTGACTGAAGATTCTGTGTCAAAGTCTATGCTAATGTAGGACAGATTTTGTTTAGTTAGGTTTAACGAAAGTCCTCAGAATGTATTCATGTCAAAATAGCTAGCAGAATATTAATGTTGTCAACCTGTGTCTTTAAAATACTTTCAGTGAATTAAAAATAATTATAAAAAGCAATGGAAAACTTAAAGTAATTCAGAAGCTTTTAGAGTGAAAAGTGAAAATTTCTGTCTTATCCTTCACTCTTTGATCAAGTCACATCTAAAGATAAAATTGTTACCAGTTGGTATATACTAATGTACATCCTGACTGACAGAGTCCTGGTGTGGCGCTGTAGGATCAGCATTGGACTGCTAACCACAAGGTCAGTGGTTCAAACCCACCAGCCACTCCTTGGAAATCCTATACAGGGTCACTGTGAGTCATAACTGACTCGACGGCACTAACAACAACTGATTTTCTATGCAGATATTATATATGAGTTATTTTTAATTTTTGTTGTTAGGAAGTATCTGAGCAGTGTCCAAGACCATTTGACTTAAAAAGTCTCCTAGCACCAAGCTAGGATAAGTAACATAAACATTCACTTTGAGTTTTTAAACTTGTCAAATGAGTTCTACTTGAATGGAAGTTTAAGATCTGTGATTGTTACAGTTCAGTATTGGTGATAGAGGAATGAGAGATAGTTTGGCAATCCTTAAATATCAGTTATCAACTTGACATTGTTGTTAAAGTGCTATCGAATCGGTTCTGACTTATAGATACCCTTTATAGGGTTTCTGAGGAGTGGCTAGTGGATTTGAATTGCTGACCTTGTGGTTAGCACTCCAGTGCTTGCTATTCTACAGCACCTCACCAGGACTCCTTGGAGGAATATGTCTAATATATTCCTATTTTTTCATTTGTGGAGTTCTGGTGTGGTGCTGCATGTTAATGTGCTGGACTGTAAGATTGGTTTGAATTGGCGGTTCACACTCACCAGCCGTTCCTTGAAAACCCTATACAGTATTGCTACGAGTTGTAACTGACTCGATGGCACTTAATAACAACAAGAAGTGTGATTTAAACATTTTTATTGTGTAAACATTTGTTGTAATATTCATGAATTTATTGCTAATTATACTTAAATTTCCATGATATTTTGAATCATAATTTTTTTCTTTCCCTTAGAAAAATTCTGCAAAAATGTCTTTGTACCCATCTCTTGAAGACCTGAAAGTTGACAAAGTAATTCAGGTATGTTTAAGTGCATCATTTAAAAAAAAAAAAAAAAATCTTTAAAAAAAATATATTGTGTCATGCATTGTAGTTATATATGAGAGGGATTCAAAAACTTCATAGAAAAATTCCATTACCTTTCAATTTTATTTTCCACAAATCTTTTGATGCGATCTCATATGTGAAGTGAAGCAAAAACCTAAATAGCAAATGTATTCATTAATTGCTATAGTTAGTAAATTTTTGTTCAATATTATTAATTGCAAACTATGAAAGTTACAGAAAAGTTAGTAATTCTGTTTCATTTCATTGTGAGCTAAAGAGTATGGGACTTCATTTCTTTAAAACTTGACTTAAACTCTTTAAAACTAGCTTGATTTTATGACCAAAATTACATACAACATATTTTTTTTGTTGTTGATTTTTAAAAATTATTATTATATTGTGACCTGAGTCACAATAGTTTACACGGGAGAACATCGGCTTTACACCATTGTTTCATTGTGATGACTACACTCCTTTGTGAATCATCATTCAACAGTATTTGCATCCATGCCCTCTGTTTTTGTTTGTTTTTGAGGGGTGGAGAGGGATGTACACAAAAACACTCGGGAATATATAATAATTTAAACAACCAAAGGGCACATTCTGCAAGCTTGTCTCCTGGCCACCAGCACAAAGTCCTTCTGTTTCCATGAGTCTTGAGTCCTCAGCTGCTCCGTCTCTACATGTCCCCATCTCTGCCTCCATCTCTGGTATCGCTGCTTCTCTGGATAGAGTCCACATTCCACTCATGCTTTTCTCCCTTGATGGTCTTAGGGTTGTCTGCTTCTGGACTGTAATATTAACTACTCCCCCGTTTTTGATACAAAACTTCTACCTTTACAATTGTGACAGTGACAGTTAGTCATGATAACAATTGCTCACTATTGAATTGTAAGAATCTTATCCCCATCTCTTTTCACTAGACCCATCCAGACAAGATGAAAACTATTTCGTGAGGACTCTATTTCCCCCACACACTCTTAAACTAAACTCCCTCTTGAAATCTTGTAGGCCAGTCACTTTGTGTTTTTATCTCCCCCTCATTTTAGGTAGCCGATGTCTAAGTTACCTGTCCCTATCTACCCTGTATACAGAGAGGATAGCATTGATACTTGTTGTGAAGACTCCATCCCTCTTTGTTGGTATTTTGAGCTACTACCTCCATGAGTATCCACCACTCATCTGTCAGTTTGTTGTACTGTGGTGGCTTGTAAGTTGCTGTGATTCTGAAAGTTATGCCACTGGTATTTTAAATACCAGCAGGGTCAAGGTTTCAGATGAGCTTCCAGACGAACACAGACTAGGAAGAAAGAGTGACAAACTACTTCTGAATATTTAATCACTGAAAACCTTATGAATAGCAGAGAAATACTGTCAGATACAGTACCGGAAAATGAGCCCCTCAGGTTGGAAGGCACTCAAAGTGTGATTGGGGAAGAGCTGCCTCCTCAAAGTAGAGTTGACCATGATGATGCGAATGGAGTAAAGTCTGTGGGAGAAAAGCCTGCGAGACCTTCATTTGCTGATGGGGCACAACTCAAAATGAAGACACACAACTATAAACATCCATTAAAAATCGGAACATAGAATGTACGAAGTATGAATCTGGAAAAATTGGAAGTTGTCAAAAATGAAATGGAACGCATAAACATCGATATCTTAGGCATTAGTGAGCTGAAATGGACTGATATTGGTCATTTTAAATCTGACAACCACATGGTTCTCATCTCTCATACTTCGGACATATTGTCAGGGGGGAACAGTCACTGGAGAAGGATATCATGCTTGGTAAGGTGGAGGGTCAGAGAAAAAGAGGAAGACCCCCAAAGCAATGGATTGGCCAAGTGGCAGCATCGATGGACTCAAGTGTGGCAACAGCAGTGAGGTTGGCCCAGGATCGGGCAGTGTTTCATTCTCCTGTGCATAAGGTCGCTATGGGTCAGTACTGACTCGATGGCACCTAACAACAACAACAACCTCCATAAGTATAGGTCAGTTTCATCAAATTGTAGCAATTCATCCTCATTTCCTTTATCAAAAATTGTGGGGTTTTTTTCTTCCTCTAGTCGGGTTTTGATTATCCAGCCATCAAAACTAGGTCAGATGGGTACTATCTGCAAGTTTGCGTGTTCTTGTGCATCTCCCCTCACTTCCTATCAGGTGGATGCTTCACTCTCAGCTTTAGCACTTTGTGGCTATTTGCTTGTCCATGGGCTCAGGAGTCCCCAGGTCTTACCGCACTTACATACATAGCATATTTAAATTGATGAAATACTTTGCAACCATTTAAACCTTCAGAGTTCAGTGTTAGGAGCCCTGGTGGCACTGAGGGTTAATCATTGGGCTAATAACCACAAGTCAGTGGTTTAAATCTACCAGAGAAAGATGAGGCTGTCTGCTTCCAAAAAGGTTTAGTTTAAACTCTTTAAGGAATCACTAGGAGTCAGAATAGACTCAATGACAGTGGATTTGGATGGGAATTCTGTGTTAAATTGGTACATTTAATTTTTTTCTTGGATTTTTAGATATGACCAATTTAAAAAATAATTCAATGCTTAATCTTTGAATTGAAAGAAAAAATTCCAGAAATAGTAAAGTTCATACTGCTTTTAGTAGAGTAATTCTATGAAAGCACTCATGATATCCTTTTGGACTTTAAGGAACAGTTACTTTATTGATTCATGCAAATCCTCAACAGGGTTGCTATGAGTCAGAACCAACTTGATGTCAGTTAACAACAGATGACTATCAACGAGGTGGCTGGCTATTTCTAATCCCCTTTACATAGAGAACTTTTATAGTTCTTCATTTTGTATTCTCTTTGAAGACAGATGCTACTGCTAAGAAGATTGCTCTTGTGGAATTGTTATTAATCTTTTTAATTGGTGATAATTTTTGTATAATAAACATCTGTTTTCAGTTTGTTTATTTTAAATCTGACAAGACAAACCTAGCACCATTGTATTTTTTATTCCTAAAATCTTTATAATATGATGTTTTTCAAAACTTCTTATGATAAAGATCATTTTACTTGAGGCCTTGATCTCAGTTTATTGTAAAAGTGAGATTTACTTTCTCATAGTTGACTAATGAGCAGAAAAAAAAAATTATTACAAGTTTGTGAGACATCTTGAAACAGCCTCAAGGATACAAATGTTTTAGGCAAAATGTTGACCTTATTGGGGTGAGAAAAAAACAGTAATAGTAACCTATACATGTTGTTAAGTGCCATTGAGTCTATTCTGACTCATAGTGGACCCTGCATAGGGTTTTTGAGGAGTGGCTGGTGAGCTTGAACCGCCGACTTTATGGTTCAAAACAACATTGCCAACCAGACCGTTAACCCACAGTGCTATACCCAATAATGTAGATGTGCTACGCCGATTTTCTCACTTAAACATATGGGTGTATTATTTATGTAGACACGTCATTTGTAAAAAAATACCATATGCCATATTGCTCAGTATCCTGCTAATATCATGACACAGATAATTTCAGTGATGCATCCTGAGATAGTAAATATTAGCAACTTATTTTGGAGTCTTGATGTGGTGCTTCAGGATAAACACTGGACAGCTAACCACAAAGTTGGCGGTTCCAGCTCACCATCACTCCTTAGAAACCCTATGTAAGATCTGAGTCAGAATTTAATAGAAACAACTGGTGTTTAATTTTTTAAGAGTTCTGTTACGTAACTTCTTATATGAATGTGGTCAATATTTGTACTTGAATTAGTAAAATGTAAAATGTATGTGTGATCATTCATTTTAGAATGCATGTTTGTAATACACATTTATTAAATAATAAATGGCAGTACTATGAAATACTTGATCATAAATGAATGGTGCTAAATCATTTTTTATTATAATTTCAAGTATTTAGAATCGGAAATCTTTTTTTCTGATTTGCAGATGTCCTTTGAAAGATGTATTACTCTGGTGTGAAAAATGTATTATTCTGGTAGCGTAGTGGTTACGAATCAGGCTGTGAACCGCAAGGTCAGCACTTCAAAATTACCAGCTGTTCCTCAGGAGAAAGATGAGGCTTTCTGTTCCCGTAGAGATTTATTTATAGCCTCGGAAACCCTGTAGAGGGTCGCTATGAGTCGGAACCGACTCCACGGCACATAACAAACAAAATAAGTGTATGAAATTGAAACTTAATTGAATGAAACTTTAGTGCTTTAGTGTTTTCTCTTACGTACTGAATTTGTCTTATAAATCATGTAATAATTTAAAGTAAATATTTATAGTGTTGTTATTAGTGTTTTCTTCTTTTGTTTTTCAGGCACAAGCTGCCTTTTCTGCAAACCCTGCTCATCAAGCAATCTTGTCAGAAGCCTCTGCTCCCATCTCTCAAGATGGAAGTAGGTTTATACTTTAGGTTCATTTTCCTTGAACAGAAATATTTGTTAAGCCATGTTTTCTGAAATTAAGGTCTCTCAAGATTTTTTTTTTTTTGACATGCAGCCTATCTTTAGAAGTAACTTAGGAAGCAAATGTTTCAAAATAACCATTTTATCCAATTTAGAAAGTGAGCTGTAAATATGAAGATGTGTTTTATGATTTAATGAAAGTTGATTTGAGCCTGATTCATTGGTCCCCAACCTGTGACTGATTAACCTCTGAGTAACCTTCCATGTCAATCCAGATGCCGTTCCACTGCTGTTGGAACTTCCTCTCCTTTCTCTATTGTTGTGGAAGAAGTTTCTGAAATTTCCAACTTAGCTTTTTTGGAAGCTTCCCAAATTTTGGAGTCTACATTTAAAAAATGTCTTTCTCGTTCAAGGTTTGGAAGGATCCAAGATAGAATCCCTATTAAAAAGTTAATATTATTTAAGATAGACAAACAGCTGCCCTCCTACAAATCTTGTTCCTGTCTGTAACATTGTTTTTTTTGGGGGGGGAATTAGTTTTCCAGATAATTCATGTAAAAACTTTGGAAATTTGAAAGCTAGGTTTTATTAAGTCTCAAAATAATATAACACTAAGTAAATTTTCTTTATTTGAATAAACCTACTTGATTACAATTAATTTTCAAGAAAAATTGACCAAAATGTTACCTGTCAAGTCAATTATCTTATAACTATATAATTATTTAGAAGAGGACATGGAACAAGGGATATCATTTCTGACGTCAGATGGATCTTGGCTAAAAGCAGAGAATACCAGAAAGATGTTTACTTGTGCTTTATTGACTACACAAAGGCTTTTGGTTGTGTGGATCATGACAAGGTATGGACAACATTGTGAAGTATGAGTATTCTGGATCACTTAATTGTGCTCATGAGGACTCTGTACCTGGACCAAGAGGCAGTTGTTTGAACAGAACAAGGGAACACTGAATGGTTTAAAATTAAGAAAGGTGTGTGACAGGGTAGTATTTTTTCACTGTACTTATTCATCCTGTATGCTGAGCACATAATCTGAGAAGCTGAGTTATATGAAAAAACAGAAACAAAACGTGGCATCAGGTTTGGAGGAAGACTTATTGAACAATCTGCAATATACAGATGATACAACCTTGCTTGCTGAAAGTGAGGAGGACTTAACATAATTGCTGATGAAGATCAAAGACCACAGCCTTTGGTATGGATTGTATCTCAATGTAAAGAAAACAAAAATCCTCACCACTGGACCAGTACACAATATTCTTATCATTGGAGTAAAGATTGAAGTTGTCAAAGACTTCATTTTTCTTGGATCAACCCATCAACACTTATGGAAGCAGCAGTCAAGAAATCAAACAACGAATTGCATTAGGCAAATCTGCTGCACAGGACCTTTTTAAAGTGTTGAAGAGCAAAGATGTCAACTTGAGGACTAAGGTGCGCCTGACCCAAGCCATGGTATTTTCAATAACCTCATATGTATTGTGAAAGCTGGACAGTGAATAAGGAAGACTGTAGAAGAATTGATGCTTTTATAGTGTAGGAGGAGACTATTGAAAGTACCATGGGCTGCCAAAAGAGCCAACAGGTCTGTGTTGGAGGACATGCAGCCAGAGTGTTCTTGGAGGCCAGGATGGCCAAACTTCGTCTTTCATACTTTGGACATATTGTCAGGAGGGAGCAGTCGCTGAAGAAGGATACCATATTTGGTAAGGTGGAGGGTCAGAGGAAAAGAGGAAGACCCCCAGCTAGGTGGATTACTGGCAAAGTGGCAGCATCAATGGGCTCAAGCGTAGCAACGATTGTAAGTTTGGCCCAGGACCAGGCAGTGTTTCGTTATGTTGTGCATAGGTTCGTTAGGAGTTTGTACCAACTAGATGGCACCTAACAATAACAGGTAAATTTATAAGTGCTGCTGTGGCGCTGTACGATAAACACTGGACTTATGACCGCAAGCCTAGCGATTGAAACCCTCCACTCAGAAACACTAGGTTGCTGTTGTTAAGTACAGTTACGTGAGTCAGTTCTGACTCCCAGTGACCCTACATAGGATTTCTGAGGAATGGCTGGTGAGTTTGAACCACCAACCTTGTGGTTCAAACCAACCTTTCAGTCCAGTGCTTATCCTACAGCTCCACACCAGGACTCCCAGAAGCCCTATACAGGATCACTTTTAAATTGGATAAATTTATGAGGTTTACTTTTTTTTTTTTTTTTCCAGTTTTATCAGTCCCAAAGAGTCGATCCATAGCTATATTTACTATATGAGTTATACTTGGCTTGACAGTAAACATTTTGGCCAATCTTTATTGAAAAAAAAAGTACTAAGTGGGTTTATTTAAAGAAAGAGAAAAGGCCACATAACTTGGAAAAAGTGAGCATTTAAGGCATCGTCATGGTGCAGAGGTTAAGTGCTCAGCTGCTAACTGGACAGTATGAACCCACCAGCTGCTCCACAGAGGAAAGATATGGCAGTCTGCCTAGATTACAGCCTTGGACTTGACAGCAGTGGCTTTGGTTTTGTTTCTTCCTTGAGTATGTAGAAATCTGAGGTTGTTTCAGTTCAAATTTCTGTATTTTTCAACTTTTCACAAGAAAAAATTTCTGTACCTTTCCATTTCTAATTTCAAGGATCAAAAGGCATTCTTCCCAGTAGCTGCTTTCAATGCATCTTAGATTTTGTAGATTAAAGTGTAATACTTTCAACCCAAGTAGAAGTCCATAACAATAGTAGTTTTCATTTTAAGGATCCTGACAGTGCTTTTATTTATTTATTTATTTATTTTTTTATTAGATCTCTATCCTAAACTGTATCCCGAGCTTTCTCAGTACATGGGTCTGAGTCTAAGAGAAGATGAAATATATGCAGACATGGCCTTGGTTTCAGGAGCACCAGGGCAGGAGGGGGTATGTACAGTGTGATTACATTGAAATGATACCAGTATTTTTGCTGTGATGAACTTAGACTTTCTTCTAGGTCTGAAATCACATCTGAAATAATAGCATGCTTATTTCCTTTTGTGCTGTTATCTCTTTCCTAGTTATTAGGCGTTTAGATGCCTTGGACTATTTTTGTCAGCTGCATTTAATCAGGTGCTAACTACCAGCTGTTCTACGGAAGAAAGATGAGGCTTTCTGCTCCCGTAAAGGTTTAGAGCCTCGAAAACTCTGTACAGAGTCGCTATGAGTCAGTTACGACTCCACAGCACATAACCACCACCACCACCACCACCAAGCCTTAATGATTTTGTCTGACTGTTTCTTGTATTCGTTCTGTCCACTTTTGTCCTATTACAACCCTAATGTCGGGTGTCTGTATTTTGTCCAAAGATTATTACAGTAGTATTACTGTTTTCTAATAATTTATTTTGAATAGTATTACTGTTTATTAGTTCAGGTGTGGAGTCCTGGTGTGGTGATGTAGGATAAGTGCAAGAGTGCAAAGGTTGGTGTGAACCTCATGGTCAGTGATTCAGTTACCTGTCACTCCTTGGAAATCCTGTCCTGGGTTGCGATGGGTCAGAACCAACTTGATGGCGCATAACAATAACAAAGTTTATTAAGGGGTTCTGGTGTGGTGCTGTAGGATAAGCACTGGATTGCTGACTGTAAAGTTGGTGGTTCATACCCACTAGGTGCTCTATGGAACCTCCCTATACAGGGTTGTTATGAGTGGGAAACCAACTTGACGGCACGTAATGTTTATTAAAAGGGAACAGAAACATTTGACTGTTCTTATGTGTGCCCAGTCCCTTATACTAACACAATGTTGCCCCTTTTATACAGATTGGATGTCTCTGGCCAAAGATCCCACATAAAAGAACCCTCCAGCAAATGTTATGAGTTTCAAAACTATCTTATGACCTACAGAGCTTTTAAGAATAATTCATTTGAGTTGAAGACAAGCCAAACAACACATAAAACAAATGCCAGGAAATTCATTCACAAGGCAACAGAAAGAAAGCCACTGACTGACTCTGTGGATGGTGATAAATACAGGACTAGTAAATTACTAATTAGTATTTAATGCCAGGTTCATTTTTGTAAAACCCAGGAAATTATTTGATTCCCTTTTAGAAAGCTATGGCAATTTAAAATTAATTATCATTTTAGACCTTTTTGATGGAGAAGTTTTCTAAATTTTGATACACTGTATATTTTACTAGCAGGTGGTAGCAAGACCTTCCAGTATGAACCAGATGGTGGCACCTGTAACTGGTAATGATGTTGGAATTCGAAGAGCAGAAATTAAGCAAGGGATTCGTGAAGTTACTTTGTGTAAGGATCAAGATGGAAAAATTGGCCTCAGGCTTAAATCAGTAGATAATGTAAGTACTTTTTAATAAATCTATTTAAATTTCTCTAGATAGCTTATCTGTTAGCAAGTAATTAATGTTGAAATAATGTGAAAAATTGTTTGAAATTAATTATAATGGTACATTTATAATTGCAAGTAAAAATCTGGTTAATTTATCCATTTTTAGAGTACTATATTTTGACTAGGCAGAGTTGGAACTTACAGTTCTGTTAACCTCGAATGAAAATTTTTTTCTGAGTACTTTTTCTCAAATCAAGTTTATTCGTCTGTAGGAATTACTACATTATCACATAGTTTGTATAAAGGAATTTGGACATAGGGCAGCATACGTGAGACAAACTGATTAGTAAATGTGTGGTTTTAAATTAATTTTTTGTTTGACTTGAAGTACATTTATAGGTCAGTTAATCCTGTCCTTCAAATTTGAATAGGCCGTTTGCTAAGCAGAAGTGACTTTTTAGTTAGGGGAGCTAATACTTTACCTATCTCTCAACCTTACCATGTTGTTGAAATGAAGGGTTATTAATCTGTAGGAATAGTAATCACTACTTAGCATGGTTAAGTGAGTCCTGAACCATATTCATGGTTCTGGAGATTGGTGTAGCACTGAACGATAAGCACTGAACTGCCAACCACAAGGTCAGTGGTTCAAACCCACCAGCTGTTCTTTGGAAACCTTATACAGGTTTCCTATGAATCGAAACCAACTTGATGGCACTTATTAACAACAGCATAGTTTTTGCCATTACCTTATTGGATTCCTTTTTTGTATAAGCCATGGAAGCTCAGTGTGCTTTTCCTCATTGTGACACGCCTAGAAAGTGAGAATGAGTGTGCCCATTGGGATAAATGGATGAGGTTGTTCTGGCAGAAAGCCCTGACCTCAGTCCATTTTTATGACTTACTGCAGATCCACTGTGGGTTTGGCCGGGAACCTGCACTTTCTCCTCCTCTTCAGTGCTGCATCGGTTCCTGCTTTTTCCTGTATCCTGAAAGATACCTTTGATAGGCTGCCTTCTCTTTTTTCTTTTAACTTTTTATTGTGATTTGATTGGAGTTTATAGAGCAAACTGATTTTCTATTCAATAAATCACACATACTCTGTTTTGTAATATTGAGTAGTTTCCACGATGTAGCAGCTGTCTTCCCATGGCCACCTTTTACTTTTTATTCATCCTCCTTTTCCATCCATTCCTGCCTTCTGAGCTTTATCCCTGGACAAATGCTGTCCTTTTGATCTTGTGTGGCTACTTGTTCTAAAGGAGTGCATACCTCCCTAGTGCTATTGCTTACCTTATAGGCTCACCTGTTGTTTGGCAGAACGTTGAGTCACCGAAGTGAGTTCAGTTGAAGGTTCATAGTCTAGGGGTTCCATCAGATCTCTGCAGACCAAAAGCCTGGTCTCTTTCATGATTTATGTTCCACATTTTTTCTCCCATCTTTTCCAGGACCCTTATTGTGATCCCTTTCAAAGATGTCAGCAGTAGCAGACAGGCACCATCTAGAGATTTAGTCTGGTCTCGGGTTAAGGTTGGCATGGTTAATTGTTTCCATGAATTCTTAATTTTGTTCACTCATCTTTGCTCTAGACAGGCGAGTTGGTGTTTCATTGTAATTATATTTGCAGTGGGTTGGTCTACTTCAGACACATGGAGGAAACTTTTATCAGCTCTCATTTAGTAGTCTAGTCCTTATAGATGCTTTTATATTTTGCTGTTTCACTCTTTTGTACTTGTCAATTTAGACTTCTGGTTTAACCTTTGAGATTGAGAGTTCATATGATTAAAAAAAAAAAAGACTGAATTTGGTTTTTAGTTAATCATGCTGGAGCTTTCTGTATTTTTTGGCAAATGCTTTATAAAATCTGGAGTGGTGTTAAACAACCCATCTTTTTAGGCTGTTTAATAAACTGTAGCTTAAATTTTTTTAACAAATGCTTTATAACTTTATTTTTAGTAATTGTTTATAATAAACTCTTTATAAATGGAATCTTTCAAATACTGCTCTATTTTCAAACTTCTTATAAAGTACCTATATGGAAAATTTGAAGCCACCCAGTTCTTTCCCCTACACTGTAGCAGGTATTCTGAAAAGTGGATATAGCAACTGAATATTTTGGATGCAAGTCCACTGTAGAGCTGGAGTCTGGGATGGTAACGTAATACTTGACTAAAATGACTATACTCAAGGAGCTCTTGTAGCGTAGTGGTTACAAATCGGGCTGAGAACCGCAAGGTCTGCAGTTCGAAACTACCAGCTGTTCCACCGGAGAAAGAGGCTTTCTGCTCCCGTAAAGATATACAGCCTCGGAAACCCTGTACAGGATCACTATGAGTCGGAACCGAATCCACTGCACATAACAACAACAACAACAACAACATCCTTTAACTGAATTAAGTGGCTATCAAAGACCAGGGAGAAACAAATTCTAACCTGATCTTATTTGATTTATGACCAATTTGGCACATAGGTTACGGGATGCATTAGCTCTAAAGGTATTAACAATCTTAAGTTTTCATAGTGACCCTATGTAGGGTCTCTGTGGTTCGGAACTGACTTTTGACAGCAATTTACAACTTCTGTTGGTATTCTGACTTATACCTAAGCTTGTGTATTATAGTTGTCCTACTTTGTTAGGAGCTCTGGTAGTGTAGTAGTTACAAGTCGGGGGCTGCTGATCTCACAGTCAGCACTTTGAAAGGTGAGGCTTTCTGCTTCCATTAAAGATTTACAGGCTCAGAAACCCCCTATGCAGGGTCACTGTGAGTCAGAACCAGCTCCACAGCACACCACTTTGTTTTTATTCATCTTTTAAGATGCCAGGGTAGATGAGGCTTGATCAGATGTGTCATGATGAGGTAGAAATTAGCAGCAAGACCTTACTTTTTTTCATGTTTCCTAGGATTATATCCCTCATAGTCTCTTTTTAAGGGGTAACAATACATTGTATTCATGCACTTTTTTTTTTTTTCTGTTAGAGCAGATTTCTGATTTAAATGGTTCCTAATTTTCCAGCATTTTTTAACCATATAACAGTAGTAGGTGACTAAAGTTATTTTCTTATTTCTAGGGTGTATTTGTTCAGCTAGTCCAGGCTAATTCTCCATCATCTTTGGTTGGTCTGAGATTTGGGGATCAGATACTTCAGATTAATGGCGAAAACTGTGCTGGTTGGAGCTCGGACAAAGCACATAAAGTTCTCAAACAGGCATTTGGAGAGAAGATTACCATGATCATTCGTGACAGGTAAGCTGCTACGAAATAATTTCATGAAAAATATAAGACTGGGTTTCCAAAATTATCAAATGTTATTAACTGTATATTCTTAAAATTTGCCTGGTGCAGGTTTTTCTCACATCATTGGATTCCCCCCTTCCACCCCCTTTAGTAGCATCCTGCTATTGCATATACAATTCATTTCAGAATGTGTAGGATAGAGGTATTTTTCTATCTAAATCTGTCTCTAGAAAATAGAAAATGCTGAGTGGAGAAGTAACAAAGTAGCATGGTGTCTGACCTCTCATTGCAATGTACTGCCTGGACAGTTGGACAGAGCTCCAAGCTGTCCAAGTGTTTTTAAAACCTAGTTTACACAAGAACACCCAGATTTGCAGATAGTACCCATTTGACCTAGCCTCGATGGCTTGAAAATCAGCATTGGACTAGAGGAAGATAAAAACAAACAAAAAAATTTGATAAAGGAAATGAGGGTCAATTGCTACAATTTGATGAACTTGACCTATACTACCTAAAATGAGGGAGCAATAAAGGCATGAAGTGACTGGCTTGCAAGGTTTCAAGAAGGAGTTTAGTTTAAGAGTGTGGTGGGGAAGATGGAGTTCCCACTGAATAGTTTTTATGTTGTTTGGATGGGGATAAGATTCTTCTGATTCTATAGTGATTAATTGTTATTTTGACTAATTGTGACTGTCACAATAGTTAAGGCAGAAGTTTTGCAACAAAAACCGGGGAGTAGTTAAATCTTACAGTCCAGAAACAGAGAATACTAGGACCATCAAGGGAGAAGATCACGAGCGAAATGTAGGACCTTATTCAGAGAAGCAGCAACACCAGAGACAGAGGCAGAGATGGGGACATGGAGAGAGAGAGGGAGCAGCTGAGGACTCTAGATTAATGGAAAGAGGGGACTGAGGGCTGGCGGCCAGGAAGCAAACTCTCGCAGAATGTGCCCTTTGATCGTGTAAATTATTATATATGCCTGAGGGTTTAAAACAAAACAACAAAAAAATGAATATAGAGAAATACTGTTAACTGATGGTGCATGGAGGGAATTATAATCAGTGTAATGAAACAAAATATATGATTTGTTGACGGTAAAACTGATGATCTGCCTTGTAAACTTTTACTCAATTCACAATTAAAAAAAAACCCCAGTTTAGCCTTCGGGGTGGTTAGGAAACTCTAGGTGGCAAAGTAGGAGAGTAGAACATTTTATTTACCAGTTACCATTTACAGCTTTTAAACATTTATCACATGTTCTCCATTTATGCTTGCTCTCGCTCCCCAAGAGGTAGGGTGAACCCATACCACGTTATTATAATTAGCTTTTGGTTGTGTTTTTTCTAAATTAATGGAAACTTCTAAACAAAAGTTTGTGTTTATTCATCTTTGGTAACATGCAATATTATAAAAATTTCTAATATGTAGTGAATGTTTCGTAAATGAATGAATTACTCAAGGCTTTGAGCTGGTTCAGATCAATTCTGCTATAATTGGTGAAGTGAGACCAGAACTAAGCCACATTTTAAAAATTGATCTGGAACAAGAATCAGAATGGGAAAACATGGCTGGGAACCCTGAATTACAGACCTAGAAGAGGAATAGTGAGCCCTTTCAGGAACCTGAAGCATGAGCTTGGATTATTGTCCCAATTGTGGGGAGTAACACACAGTGATCTGAGCAGGGCATCGCTGTTTCTGACTGTTCAGAATCCAGTACACAAGCTTTGGTGGGTATGCAGTGTGAATGCTGCCCTCATTTTCTAAGAAGGGGATTACATTTCTCACCGAGACATTCTCCCTATAATGTTTTTCTGTTCTGGTTCATGCAAACTAAACGAAAATTGGTTTTGCTTCCTTGGCCATGACTGAATCAGGAAGAACTGATTCAAAACCCTGTTTTTACCTTACATCTAAGCAGCATTTCAAAGAGTACTTTGGTCCAGCAGACAGGCAAAGCTGTTTTGAAATACATAAACATAAAAAGCTTATCATAAAACTCATGTTGCTTCTGAGAGTAGTTGTTAGAATAGCGGCACACCATACTTTCTCAAAGGGGTGGAGTTTAAAAAAGCTTACTGGAAAATTTCATTCATTTTTCCATGAACCTTTTGAAGCCCCCTAGTATTGCTTATAAGGAACTCTGGTAGTGTAGTGGTTACGAGTCGGGCTGCCAACCTCAAGGTCAGCAGTTTGAAACTACCAGTGGTTCCAGGGGAGAAAGATGTGGTGTTCTGTTCCTGAAATGATTTACAGCCTCAGAAACCCTGTGCCGGGTGACTGTGAGTCGGAACCGACTCCACGGTACTCAACAACAACAACAGTTTTGCTTATGGAGTCTGGTGTGGCACTGTGGGCTAATGCGTCAGACTGCAAAGTCATTTGATCAAGGTCAGTGGATCAAGCTCACCAGCTGCTCCTTGGAAACTCTATACAGGGTCGCTGTGGTTTGGAATTTACTTGATGGTACTTAACGGTATTACTTATGCAGTTCTTGCTTAAAATACAACCAGAACAACAGCAAAAATCTTACTATGAAATATCAAAATCACGGTATGAGGACATTGTTGTTGTTGTCAGGTGCCATCGAGTCGGAACCGACTCATAGCGACCCCATGCACAGCAGAACGAAACAGTGTGATCCTGGGCCAACCTCACTACCGCTGCCACACTTGAGTCCATCAATGATGCCACCTGGCTGATCCATCTCTTTGGGGGTCTTCCTCCTTTTCTCT